CTGTAATGATATTAACTATATGCATGTACAGTAATGACGTCACAGTCATGTGCTTACAATAAAGTGTGCTTTGTATGAACCCAAGTATGGCGTGCGTGTTAGTACATGGTGTCAGAACAAAACTCTAAAATTAGAGGATATGGAGCACCTGAAACCTCCCTCTGCTTTGAGATTAAGCGAGGAGAGAGACAAGTCCGAGTGCTGGAGACAGTGGAAGCGCTCGTGGGACCTTTACAAGGTTGCTAGTGGACTTGAAGAAAAGTCCGAGAAGATACAAGTCGCGACACTCTTGCACGTGTTAGGCAAAGAATGTCAAGAAATCTTTTCTCAATTCACGTGGGAGAAGGAAGAGGACTCTGATGAAATTTCAGCAGTCGAAGAGAAGTTCAAAGCTTATTTCGAGCCACTTTGTTCAAAGAATTTCAATCGTCATTTGTTTATCGAAAGAAATCAAAGAGACGGCBAKTCAGTTGACGAATACTGCGGAGCTCTCAAAGCCYTAGCAAAAAGTTGTGATCTTGGCGACAGAGGAGAATCRTGGATAACTACAAAGTTAKTCTTAGGCCTCAGAGACATAAAACTAAAAGAGCGATTGATGGAAAGCGACAAAAGCCTCGAAGATACGCYAAAAGCAGCAAGAATCGTGGAAACGAGTAGACAACATTTGCAGTCTATTACCAGTAATGGCGCCAAAGCGGCGGACTCTGTTGAAGCTGTCGAGTCAGTTGGACGGCGTTATGCAAAAGGACAGCGAAATAAAGCTTCCAACAGCCAAAACAAAGAGAGAGAGAGACATCTCGAAAAGCTTGTACGAAGTGTGGAACAGTTCATATTCCAAAGCGATGTCCAGCGTATGGCAAGCAGTGCCATAAATGCAAAGTGTTAAACCATTTTGCGARGTTTTGTCCTAAGAAGAAAAAAGATTCATCTAATATTAACTGTGTCAACGAGCATGATGATGATGYTGTAGRAGATTTAMGTTCAGATGAGAGTTTTCACATTGGATCTCTTGAAGTCGGAGAGAAGGACTGGGTCGAGACAGTCAATTTCGGAAATCTACAAGTAAATCTAAAGYTAGACAGCGGAGCTCAATGCAACGTTATAACAAAGAAAATTTATGACAAGATTACTACTAAGCCATTGGAACAAACGAAAGTTAAGCTCGAGAGTTACACCAAAACATTCATTAAGCCCCTGGGACAGTGCACATTAATTGGAGTAAATAGAGGAAACAAACACAGCCTGTCTTTCCAAGTTGTTGATGGAAACTACACACCTATCTTAGGAAGAGCAAGCTGTGAAGAAATGGGACTAATTCAGCGTGTGAACTGTGTGAACACTGAAGCACTCATGAAGGATTACTCAGATGTTTATTCTGGTCTAGGATGTTTACCTGGAGAGTACCATATAACAATTGATCCTAGTATAACTCCTGTTGTACACCCTCCTCGCAGGATAGCTCATTCCAGACGTGACAAACTGAAGCACGAACTAGACTGCATGGTCAGATTAAACATAATCGAGAAGGTACCATTGAACGAGCCAGCGGATTGGGTGAACAGTACCGTTGTTGTCGAAAAGCCAAATGGATCCGTAAGAGTATGCATAGACCCCAAGGATTTGAATGTTGCCATCAAACGTGAACATTATCCACTACCCACAGTGGAAGAAATAGCTGCAAGATGTACTGGAGCCAAACTCTTTACAACGCTCGACGCAGAACAGGCATTTTATCAGATAAAGCTCGATGAAGAGAGCAGAAAGCTCTTGACATTTAACACTCCCTTTGGAAGATTTCGTTACTTGAGAATGCCGATGGGAATCAAATCAGCACCTGAAGTATATCAACAGAGAATGGAACTGGTCTTYGAAGGACTAGACGGTGTGGAAGTCATGATGGATGATATTCTTGTTCACGGTAGGAACGAAGAAGAACATGACATAAGACTACAAGCTGCACTACAGCGTGCAAGACAAAACAACTTGAAACTCAAC